TGAAATTTCATGTCATATGCACATAACTTTCATAANCTTCATGCCCAAAATATAATGAATGTTATATGAGCAATATTAATCATATTCCATGAAATTTCATGTCATATGCACATAACTTTCATAATTCATCATTATGCTTAATATACCAATAAGCATATGTCCACATATCACAACAACTCAAACATGTTATTTGCNGAAGATTTAAATTGACTAGCAGAAGTGGTCATCTGGGACACTTAGAGTTTGTAATTTATTTTATTTTGATTCACAAAGTTTTTAATTAGTATCAATTCAATATATCAGGTTTTCAACGAATTCCCCTCAAGTGTAGTAGTGCAACTCGATATGGTTAAACTTAAATTCACTGATTCGGTTTGCCTTTGGGTTGGATCCCGAAAACCCATATACTCAACTTGATAAATTTTTGAATGTAAATTAAGTTGGGATTTTTGAAATCTATGCCCAAGTACTGAATATGTTGGGTTGAACTTGAGTTGGCCTTGGGTTGAGTTTGATTCGACTGAGATGAAAAAATTCATTATTCAATAACCATCGTGTTCCATAAACTAAAGTGACACAAATTATAAGTATAAAGGATTACATAGACACATTAAAAAAATAAAGACCAAAGTGACAAATCGTATGCTTGAGAGATCATTGTTACATTTGCCGGAAAAATGATCTTATTTTTCTAATATGTAATTTTAAAGAAATTTAAAAACTTAATTGCAGGTGGGATGATCGCATGTCTGCAGTTATACCCGATGAGGATACATTCTACTGTGTAGGTTTCTTGCACTCAGGTGGGTTCAATAACTGGGAGGTTTTGGAAGATCAGAACAATGAAATATTACAAGTTTGTGATAAAGCTGGCATTAAGGCCAAACAGTATCTTCCACACTATAGAACCAAGGAAGATTGGGTAAACCATTTTGGCCCAAAGTGGACGACTTTTGAAGAGAGGAAAGCTAAGTTTGATCCAAAAATGATATTGTCTCCTGGACAAGATATTTTCAGTTCTGTTTAAACATGGATGTGTTTCAAGTATTATGTTATGAAGATTGAATTTCTATGATTTTCTTAGTTGATAAAGTAACACTAGTTGGAATATATGAGGAATGTGTATAAATGTATAGATAGCATAGGTTGATATATTGGGACAAAGAATGTAAGGAAGAAGCTTATTGAGTTCATTTCGAATTGAAGTTTTTTGAGATTTAAATTCCCTTCTGTATATTTTGCTTCAATTTTCCTCTAAATAGTTGTCTGGCCACGATAATATTGTTTGATTGTGACCCGAGTGCCAAGAATTTTAGTTAGGACAAAAAACCATCTGCACGCAAGGGTTCTATTGCATGCAGTTAACTTTCTCTAATCCTGGAAGTGGAGAGAGACATCATGCAATGGGTTTTCCTTCTTGACTAGAACTAGTGCTAAATGTTCATAGAATCACCTGAGTAATTGCAAACAATTTAAAGATGAACTTGAAGAAGAACGAGACTGAGTTATGCTCACACTCTCAGCAAGTTATAAAGACCCTGTTGTGGCCCTATGGAGATTATTCCATAGGGCCAACATCAGTTGGAAACAAATGGTGAGAATGGGAACCCAACATTTTTGAGCCCAGAATGTTGTGGCCCTATGGAGATTATTCCATTTAATCCTACTCAGAGTTCTTTGATTTTCGATTCTGGTATGGTAGCTCCCAGCAAGAATACAAGATCAGTTTCTTTTAAATTGCTTAATCTGAATCATGATGAAGGTGAGATTTTCCCCAGTTCAGATGAGTATTTTGATTCTGATTTTGAAGACTCTTTGGTAGAAGCTCCCATTGTTTATGATCCATGTGTTCTAAATAAGCAAAATCATGATTCATGGTACAAACAAATACTTGTTACCCAACAAATGGCAGATGCAGTTCATCAGAGTGTCCACAGTCAAGAAGAGTTAATTCCAACAATGTCCACTAGGGAGATTCATCAGGCTTTAAAAGCAAAAGACATTTTCTCTAAGGATGATTATGTCAAAGAACCTCTTGCTCATGAAAATACAAGAGGTTTTTACTCATATGGAGAGGAGGATGTTTCACCTATATTAGATCATGATTCTTTTATAGATTCATCCAAAGAGTTGCTGAGAAGGCTCACAAATGCTGAGAAGAAAAGGAAACAAAAGGAGGAGGAGCTAGCTGCCTTAACATTGGCACTACATAATGTACCAGTTGGGAAAGATTCGCCAAGAATCACTAGGTCCAAATCTAAAGCCATGATAGCATTCAAAATTCCAAAGCAGAACAACAAACATGGATTCAGGCATTAAGGGAGCCTTGGTTGTTCAGCTGTTTTTTTATGGATTTCCTGTTGCTTCTATTTGGGGTGTTTCTGCTGGTTCTTTCCTGTTTGGAAATTGTGGCGCTTCTGTTGGGGTGTTTCTACTGGTTTTTGTTCCAGCGGGTTCACTTGTTGCTGAATTATTCTAGCTGGATTTCTCAAAGCAAGCTATGGTGGTATCAAGCTTTTTCTATGCTGCTGTCTGTAGGAACTATTCACGTGAATAGGTCCATTGCTTTTGGGGTTCAATGATGGTGGTTGATGGTCATGTTGTTGTTTGAGGTGTTGGACTGTTTTGGCTNTACTGGTTTTTGTTCCAGCGGGTTCACTTGTTGCTGAATTATTCTAGCTGGATTTCTCAAAGCAAGCTATGGTAGTATCAAGCTTTTTCTATGCTGCTGTCTGTAGGAACTATTCACGTGAATAGGTCCATTGCTTTTGGGGTTCAATGATGGTGGTTGATGGTCATGTTGTTGTTTGAGGTGTTGGACTGTTTTGGCTTAAGCAGAAGGCTTTTTGGTTTTTATTTTTGAAGGACTAAAGCCAACTATGCCTTTCTTTTTTTGTTAAAGCTTTGCTTCTTTTACTTCTTGTAATCTTGCCTTTGATTTGAATGTTATTTTGTTATTTCAAAAAAAACAAATTCAATTTATCAAATAAATGCCAAGTTAACATTCAATTCAAATAATTTATATTCAAATTCATTCAATTAACACTCAATTCTAACATAAAAAATCATCCAATAAATATTCAATTTAACAAATCAACACCAAAGTAGCATGAAATTTCATTAAATCAATATGAAATTAGAATTCAATTCGTTAAATCAGCATTCAATTCATCTAATAACCAATTAATTCATCAACTTAACATTTAAATTCTACTACCAACTTAGCATTCAATCTCAACCAATTGATATTCAATTCATCAAATTAATACCAAATTAACATTCAATTCATCCAATCTATATCCAAATTCATTCAATTAACACTCAATTTATCAAATTAACATCAAAAATCATCTAGCAAATATTCAATTTAATAAATCAACAAAAAAGTAACATGAAATTTCATCCAATAAACATTTAATTCATCAAATCAATAGAAAATTAATATTGAATTCAAAAAATTAATATTCGATTTCATCTAATAAAATTTATCAAACTAACATTCAAACTTAACTATTTAACATTAAATTTATCAAATTAACGTTCAATTTCATTCAATTAACATGCAATTCATCAAATTAACCCCATATTGACATTCAATTCATAAAATTTATTTTCAAATTCATCCAATTAACATTCAATTCATCAAATTAATATCCAAAATCATCCAATAAAAATACAATTAATCAAATCAATACCAAAGTAACATATAATTTTATCCAACAAATTTTCAATTCATCAAATTTTTACCAAACGAACATTCAATTTCATATAATTAACATTCAAATTCAACTATTAAACATTAAACTTATCAAATTTTCATTTTATTTCATCCAATTAATATTTAATTTATCCAATTAACACCAAATTGAAATTCAATTCATCCAAATAATATTCAATTAATTAAAATAACACCAACTTAACATTTAATTCATCAAATTAAAATAAAAAATCATCCAATTAAGATTTAATTTATCAAATAACTACCAAAGTGACATGAAATTTTATCCAATAAACATTTAATTTATTAAATCAATACCAAATTTGTATTTAATTCAAAAAAATAATATTAAATTTATTAAATTAACATTCAAATTCATCAAATTAAGGTCCTCTCACTCGTAGGGGTTCTCTCTCCGTGGTATCGGAGTCTTCGTCTTTCTTTGGGCTTCTCCTAGTGATGGTATTTGTCATTTCTTTTTCATCTTTTTTGTCCCACAGTGATTTGTATAGCTTTTGTTTGTTTATGAATCGTTATCTCTCTGGTTTTTTCTTTGTCTACAGGTCTTGTGGTTTGACTTTGTTGCCTAGTGCTTCCTCTGTCGACATTGTTTATATCTATTGTAGTTTCTTTGAATTCCAATGGATGAAATGATGGAAAAGTTATGGCGCGGATTGAAGTTTTCTAAGGAGGAGAACGTGGAGGTGAATATCTTTGAATGACATAATGGTAATTTGAAAGGATGGGGAAGCTATGTCTGGTTGGGAGAGTTCTTACAAAGAAGCAGTTTAATAAGAATAACCTAAAAAGCACCATGGAATTGGTCTGGAATCTGGGTAGTGTGGAATTTAAAGATATTGGTTTTAATCTTTTCTTATTCTAGTTTAGGAGTTGTTCAGATAAATGGAGGGTGTTAGAAGGGATGCCATTGTCTATTGATAATCAATTGGTGATGTTAAGGGAATATAAAGGTAATGTGCAACCCTCAAATATCTAGTTAACGCAATGCCCGTTTTCTATTCATGTTCATAATCTCCCTTTGAACTGCATGACTCAGTCTACTAGCAAGATCATAGGGGAAAGGCTAGGAAATTATATGAAGACGGACTTAACACCAGAGGGATCAGGGTGGGGAAAATTCCTACAAATTAGAGTCAACATTGAGGTATCCAAACCATTGCTGAGAGGAATGACGTTGAAAAGTAGGGGAGGTGTGTCACCCATAATTATTTTAAGTATGAGAGGTTACCAAATTTTTGCTATTTTTGTGGTCGCCTAGGACATGGGGAGAGGGATTGTGAGGAGCTGTTGGAAGGAAGTAAGTCATTTAATAAATTAATGCCACAATTTAAACCATGGTTGCAGGTGGTGGGAGAGGAAGGTAGATCGGGAATGAATACGCAAAGATAAAAATCACAATCCATTGGAAATGGTGTCAAAAACTCTGATGAAGGGAGGTTCAATGGAGATTCTTTTCCTAAGGAAATTCCTAATGTTTCGCTAGTGGAGAAGGAGGAAGTGATAATTTTGGGTGGGAGATCTCAAATTGTAGGAAAGGATGCTGGAGTTCCCCAATTTAAGAGGAATTTAACGATGAAAATGGGAAGTGCATCTCTTGGAACAACACCTTGTCCTCAATTGCCAACTGTGTTCTCTTTCAAATATTCTGTTTTCCAACAAAACGTGGGAAACAACTATGATTCAGGTCATGGGGCAAATGGCTCTATTACAAGTGGGCTTATTTTTAAAAGCTCAAACCCATAGCTTGATAAAAGGGTTAAGATAAGTGAGTCGGGTCTGAATTGAGGGTTGGACCATGAAATAAGGCTAGTAGAAATCCCAATACATAAGGTTTTTTCAGTCCATTGTTACCGATTCAGCAATAGACTAAGGGAAGAGAGCTGTGGTGGAGGAAGCAATAGAAATCCCTAAAGTTAAAAAGAGAGTGCCAAGAAGAGGAGGAAAAAGATTTAAAGCAGCAGCTGGATCCTCATCGGTACTGGGTAAGAGGAATAATGAAGAAGGGGAGGACATTCGAGCTGAAAAGGAGGCAGAGGAGTCGCTAGTATAAAAAACAAGGTGAGATCTCTAACAATAATACAAGAATGTCTTCTACCCCTAATGATCCAAAGACAGGCTCTGGTCTCTAGGCCTGCCTATCACCATGAAAATCTTGAGCTAGAACTACCGAGAGATTGAGCATCCTCAGAGAGTTCCTACACATCACCATTTTGTGAAGATCCAAAAGCCTAATTTTGTTTTCTTGATTTAGACGAAGTGTAAAAAAATGTTCATTGATCGGCTGAAAATGTAGTGGGTTATGAATGGAGTGGTTGTGGACGCGATTGGGAAGATGGACGGTTTGGCTCTACTATGGCAGAAAAATCAAATTGTTTACCTTCAATGTTTTTCAAAAAGACATGGATGTGATAATCAATATGGATGAAAAAAAATGAGTGGAGGTTTGTAGGTTTTTATGATGAACCAGAGGTATTTCAAAGGAAGGAACCTTGGGAGTTACTGCAATATTTAGGAACTCTCTCAAATTTGCCATGGCTATGTCTTTGTGATTTAAATGAGATTTTAATTCAAAGTCAGAAAAAGGAATGGAATATAAGGGCAGATTGGCAAATGCAGGATTGTAGAGAAGCTTTAGATAGTGCTCTTTGCTGGATTTGGGATTTATGGGTTATCCTTTTAATTAGTGTAATAATAGACCGAATTTGCATACCATATTGGTGAGACTAGACCGACACTGTGCGAATTTAGCTTGGTGTGCTATTTTTCCATCTGCCATAGTGATTCATAGTTTTAGTCATGTTTCCGATCATTATAAAGTGGAGTTGGATACGGAATCAAGATTCAAGTTAAGAGGGAGAACAGGGTGGAAAAAAATTTAGATTTGAAGCATGTTGGGTGAAAAGAAAGGATGTTGAATAGGTAATCCGGAAAGCTTGGCAACCAATTGAGGGCAATTGTGTAGTCCAGAAGGTTTGTAATAAAATTCAGAATTGCTGAGTGGGGTTGTTAAAATGGAGAAATGAGAGTGTAGGTAATGTAAAAGATAGATTGCACGGTTTGAAAGCTAAATTGGCATCTCTAAAGGAGGACGTGTTGACAGGGGATAAATATGAAATGACGAGTGAGGTAAAAGAAGAACTAGATGGTCTCTTGGGTATGGAGGAAGAATATTGGAGACAATAGTCGAGAGCTCAGTGGCTTGAGGAGGGGGATTGTAACACGACGTTCTTTTCATGCAAGTTCCAATTAGAGCCAAAAAAGGAACAGAACAAGCATGTTAAGGAATGAACAGGGAGAATTATAAAACCAGAGTAAATTTGAATTTTTATGAAAAAGAGTAAAACGGTAATTAGTCACTATGGTACAGGTTGAAAACCCGATTTTTTTTTAACTCGAATGATGAAATAGATCACACAATTGGATTCATCTCACGAAATCTAGTTATCCAGTTAGTTTTCATTGAATTTTAAGACAATCAATTTTTTTGCATTTTACGAGGCGATCGGGTGTCGCTTGACAAAAATAAATGTGACCGGAAATTAAATTGCAAAAAGTGGATAATAATTTAAATTAAGTTCAAATAAAAATATACAGAACTTGGACCAGAACGAGATTTAATTAATTTGGGATGAAATCAGACCCGGGAAAGGTGGACATGTGGCCCAACGAGAGCCAAGTATTCAAGGGGTATAAATAGGGGAGAAACCTCAGATTTTTTCCCCATTACCCATCAGATTTTTGTTGGAAAGGGAAGAGAGGGAAAATGAAAGGTTTTTTCAACTTCTCTCTACGATCTACAGCTCTTCGTTCGTCGAATCACCTTGGCCCAAGAACAAAGATTGTTCTACGCGACGTGGGCTACAAAACCATACCAAAAAGCGAAGATTTTGACGAAGTCCAAAAGACAAAATTTTTGAAAATTAAGGGCTAAAACTTGATTTGGGTTCTTAGAGGCTTTGTACCACTTGTTTTACGTTTCAAGAAGTAGGATTCATTTTCTAATTAGGTTTATTTCCAACCTAGGGTTGAAATATTAAATGTGTAAGGTGTTAGAGATGTAATCTCATGTATGATACATATCTATTGTAGTTAAAATGTGGAAAATGGGTTTAAAAATGGTTAAAATCAATTGTTGCATGAATTGAGTTGTTAAAATTTTTTGTTAGGTGATTTCATGAGAAATGTGATGAATTAGACATATTATGTGTTTACTTGATTTTGTGCCTTGTGGGTGTTTGATAAGATGTCTTGAATGAGACAAGCATGTTATTTGGGTGAAATTGAAATGACATGTTTTGATGATGTTGTAAATTATAATTTTATGCTTATGATATAATTGACAATTGAGAATGTTAATTGAGATAAAATATTGTTCATAATCTGCACATAACATATTGAACTGGATATTGGAATTGCAATTGTGTATTTACATTTGCATATGCATGGGTAGCATCATATTCTCAATCACTTGACATGAGTGTGGGTGTATGTGCATATTTTTGGATCAAACACCATTCTTGGTGGTTGATGCATGGACTTAGGAAGATTGGACCTAGGTCCAACTAAGTTGTACAGGTCACATGGAAAACTTGTATCGAGTATAGTAAGAAGGACTAGACTCTCTCTCAGGTGTAAGACACCGTTACTAGTTTATACACTTTCGACTATGAAAGTAAAAAAAAATGTATTGGTCTACGTAGAACCGGAGGTGGGATAGCTAGTGCAAGTCCATGAAATCACCTACCCAAGAAAGACACGGTTTATTTTATAAATGGGTATTGGTTGTGTAACATCAAAAGCAGAGGCTTGGGATGTCCGGATTCATACGCATAACACTGTATGTGTTATGGGAGCTGGTGAAGGATCGGGTTGAATTGCATGTTTGAGTCTCATCTCATAACATGACATGACATGAAAAATTTTATTATGAATTGCATATTCTTAAATGAATTGTTTGTTAATTGTTAAATTGCATATGAGCATTTCATATGCATCTAGGTTGAGTAGTAGGCTCTTTAAGAGATACCTTATTGAGCATGACTCACCCTTTTNTAATGAGCAAGTTGGATTTTTCTCACCTGAGAGGGGTATCCATCAAGGGGACCCTCTATCACCTTATTTGTTCATCCTTGGTTCAGAAGGGTTATCAGCAATGTTGAATGCAGCAACAAGGGAGGGGAGAATTAATGGTGTCTCAGTTAGAAGAGGGTGCCCAAAAATTTCTCACTTGTTCTTTGCAGATGACGAGCGGTGAAACAGATTCTCCAGACCTATGAATTGGCTTGAAGAGCAGCAAGATGATCTGTGTTTGACTGTCGACAAGAGTTTGCATTCTGCCGCTTGCAACAACAAATAAATATTGAGAAGTCNAAGATCGAATCAGGGAAAAACTGGGCACTCCTACCGGTAGAACATCGAGTACCTACCGATAGAAGAATTCCAGTTGGAACTTTTACCAGTAGAACATCAAGAACCTACTGGTAGAAGAATTCCAGAAGATTTTTCTACCGGTAGAACGTAGACTTTTTTACCGGTAGGTCCCCTTCAGTTTTAAAAAAATATTAAGAGTAAATTGATGTATATTAGACCTTGGAAGGGTCGTGTGATTAAAATGTACATAGGTTATGTATTTGGGAGTGCCCGATACAAAGGAGACTCTGTCCAAACGCTGTGTTGTTTATGATTCGGGTAAAAGGGATGTTATTGACGTGGAGTCGGATTGTGCAGCAATCACGGATACTTTCGTAGATTGATGGGTGATCAATGGGTTGACAAAGAACCCTCGGTTTTAGGGGCGTGACAAAAATGGTATGAAAGTAGGAAGGATGTGGCAGCGGTGGCAGTGGCTCATTTCCAAAAACTGTTTTCCTCAAGCAGACCTCAGCAAGAAGTGATAGAAATAGTGTTGACAAAGTAGAGCGCAAAGTGACAGAGGAGATGAATGCTAAACTACTAGAGAGATTTCTCCCGGATGAGGTATTCCATGCTCTATGCCAGATGTACCCCACTAAGTCTCCTTGTCCGGAAGGTATGCCTCCTATCTTTTTGCAAAAGTATTGGAATGTTGAGGGGCAGATGTCATTTCTTGTGTGTTGAGTTTTTTAAATAGTGGTCGTTTTCTCTCAAAAATTAACTATACCCACATAGTCTTGATTCCGACATGCCCCAATCTGGAGAGTATGACCCAGTTTCACCCCATTAGTTTGTGTAACATCCTCCCTAAATTGGTGGCCAAGGTTTTGTCTAATCGGCTAAATTGATCCTCCTAGCTATTATTTCTGAAAATCAAAGTGCGTTCATCCCCGGTAGATTGATAATGGATAATGTGTTGGTAGCTTTGAATTAGACCACTACCTGAAATGAAAAAGTTGGGGTAGATCTGGACATATTTCATTGAAGCTAGACATGAGTAAAACTTATGATAGAGTAGAATGGGGGTTCTTAGAAGGAATTATGGGAAAGTTGGGTTTTGACAATAGGTTGATATCTCTGGTAATGAAATGTGTATCTACAGTGTCCTTTTCACTTACGCTTAATAATGAGCAAGTTGGATTTTTCTCACCTGAGAGGGGTATCCATCAAGGGGACCCTCTATCACCTTATTTGTTCATCCTTGGTTCAGAAGGGTTATCAGCAATGTTGAATGCAGCAACAAGGGAGGGGAGAATTAATGGTGTCTCAGTTAGAAGAGGGTGCCCAAAAATTTCTCACTTGTTCTTTGCAGATGACGAGCGGTGAAACAGATTCTCCAGACCTATGAATTGGCTTGAAGGGCAGAAAGATGAGCTGTGTTTGACTGTCGACAAGAGTTTGCATTCTGCCGCTTGCAACAACAAATAAATATTGAGAAGTCGGCCATGATATGTAGCAAGAATACAACTACAGAGAAGGTGGCAGAGATCCAAGGAATTTTAGGTGTTCATCTTGTCTAGCAACACGAAAAATATTTGGGCCTACCCACCATTGTTGGCCAGCCAAAAAGAAGATTTTCAGCAATATCAGGGAGAGAATATGGAGTAAGTTACAAGGGTGGAAAGCGCAATTTTTATCATCGCAGGTAA